AACTCTACTTTTCCAGTGGGTGAGAAATATTGTCGCTTTCGTTGGATATTTTATTTTTAATCATTTCACCCCAAGCTAGGCAATAAAGCCACTAACATGCAAGAAAAGAATATAAGAAAAAGAAAAAAAAAACTTTACAAAGGAGAGAAAAATAAAAGAACAGGAATTAAAAATATGGAAGATGACGATTGACATTGCATTTAATCTTTTGCTGATCAAAGTTGAGTGAAAATCAAGAAGCCAGAAGAGTGTTCCATAAGCGTGAACATCGAGAGAATAAAGTTTTAGCGTAAAATATACGGTTATATATAAGTTGTTCAACTGTAAAATTAACCGCCAGTCTAGAAGAAGAAAGCCCATCAGGGCAGTTATCATGAAACTATTTATAGAAAAATGATAGGGAAACTACATTATCGGCCTGGGAAAGTGACTGAAGTCGAGCCTGTCCGTAGGACTCAAGGAGGACCTCCAATCTGTGGTTGACTGGGCCAGGAAATGGCTTGTAAACTTTAATGCCTCTATAACGAAACTGCACGCATTTACCCACTATAGTGAACCCTCCCTGCTTCTCATCAGGATGACTGATGCCCAGCTCTACGAGAGCGCCTCTCTGCGCCTGCTTGGTTTCACGCTGTCCGCGGATCTGAAGTGGAACAACTACATTGAATCAATAGCTTCATCTACCGCAAGAAAAGTTGTTTCTCTGTGTCGTGACAGAAAGTTTTTCTCGCCTGAGTTCATCCTCCAAACCTACAAATCAACCATTCGCCCTTGCATGGAAAACTGCCTCCATATATGGTCTGGTGCTCCCGCAGTTCATCTCGAGGTCCCCGACAAAATCCAGAGAGGAATATGCAATGTGGTCGGTCCAGATCTGACATTTAGTCTCCAGTCACATCCTCACAGGCGTGCTGTGGCTTCACTCTGTCTTTTCTACAAGTATTTTCATGACAACCCCCTGCGACGAGCTACTTTTACTGGTACCCCAACTGCATGAATTTAATCGTGCTACTAGGTTGGCATCACGGTCCCATCCTTTCACTGTCGAAACGGCTAAATGTAGCCATCTCTTTTACTTTAACAGCTTCTTCTCTCGCACCTCCCGTCAGTGGAACTCTCTTCCTATCACTTGTTTCCCTGATAGCTATAATCTTCAAATATTCAAATGTAATGTCAATCGATGCTCTGACCTTGATCTCTGTCCTTCTATTTATTCTTTTCCCAAACACTCCTCTTTAATCTCACTCTCTGTAATCCGTTGCATGCTAGTGGAACTTCCGAATTGCTTGCGGTGATTTGCTTTAAGAAATGTCAGGACTGATAACATTGCAGATACTTCTTTGGGTTTTATCAAGATTCTATAAACACATAGCAGAGGCGCCACTAGATATGACAGCAATATCCAATTCATGGACGATTGGTCGACGTATACATGTATTAAATAGATTCTGGCTAGGAAGCGTGCCTAACACGACACAGTGAGCTAGTTTTTCTAACAGCAGAGCCAGCAGTTGATTCAATAAAATGTTTTCATTTGCTATTAGCGGAAAAAACAAGTTACCATGGGAAGATGCAACGGGTCACCATCCTAGAGGTCAGCATCGGCCATGTTCACACAAACATATATGCACACAAGCTGAGTATCATTTACCATGTATTCAATTGTGAAAGCAGAATAACATATATAATATTTTATTACTTTAAAGCCCCCAGGAAAATGAAATTCTGGCATAAAATAAGCCATAATGAGTTGATATACCGTTACACAAACAAATAAATCGATTTTCTTCAATGATTAGCAGAGGCTGCTTCTTTAATTAACTCTAGAACACTAACCATCAATTAAAGTTACCCCACTACTAACCATGCGTATATCCTATCCGATTTTGAAAATTTATATATAAAAAAAATAAATATAGATCTCTATTTGAAATATTTTACATGCAGGCACTTCAAACTTTGTACTTTGAGTTAACATTACTAGGAACTGAAAAACATTATTTAGGTAAGAAAATCAGGTGAAAATTGTAATTAAAAATAGGAAAAATTGCCCTGGGTATATTATACCCATGGCTAGTGTTCTAGGGTTAAACGAAGAAAGAGTCCGATGACGAAAGAGCGATTGAGCAACTTTAGGTAATTTTCCCAATTCATGAATTTGAATTATAGTGGAGGTGCAGATTATATTGAACTTTTTTGTTAATTCAAATACAAAGTCCAATTCTATAGCAACCTCTGCTCAACCTGAGAGTGTTCGCACTTTTTCAACAAAATCAATCATTCGCGATTTTAAAACCCAGCACGTAAAAAATCTTTACCAGTAGAAAATTACTTTGGGGATTTTTCTTGGGAGGAAGTACCACCTTTGAGACAAATCGTACTTCTTTTAAGAAAATTTTACTTATTACTGAGTGTTTTTTTTTTTTATTCACAAATATTTACCAAAATAAGTAGTTTCTACTAATAATAAGAATATTTTTTCGGTGAAACAAACTGAAATAAATATGAACCAGCAGCAAGAGATTGAAACATTTTTTCTTATTATTTTAATAATAAAATCGTATCTTTCGCAACACCTATTAATAAAGTTTAAATTTGTTGTTTTGTTTACCTTTTAAATGTTCGATAGTGATGTGTGTGCGTTTTTTTTTAATTTTTTTTTCAGGGAAAATTGAAATACCTCGCAAATAATATTAAATATGTGATATAAAACATTTATAATAATATAAGAAAAAATATATATGATACAAATATAAAGATATAAAAATACAATTCAATAAAAAAAATAAATTATAATCGCGATTTTTAAAAATATTAAGGCACCCACAAGGGCGCTTACAAGTCCCAAAATAGAAAAGCTTGTTCTATACAAAGGTTAATAGATTTTAGTAAAAAATTTTTAGTAAAATCCTGAAAAGTGTATCGTACAAATGTAGAAAAGAAATATTGACATTAAAGTTACATTACTGATATATTATTGATGCAGAATATTAACAACACTGAGCAGACCATAGACATGAATTAGTTCTGTACATCTATCAATAATCAATGTATATAAGACATTTTTATGTTTAACGTTCTTTTTTTTTATAGATACAAGTATTTAAGTAAATGCTCTGTTTATAATAAACAGTATTATGTCCGAATGTCCGAGAAATTTTCATAGAAAATATTCGTCCTTTGACAGGATTCGAACCTGCATCCTATACGGAACCGTCATTTACGCTGACGTGCCTTACCGATCGGCCACAAAGAAGCGTTCGGTAGACAAGGTCGAATTTACTGCTTATAAACTTCAATCTTCCATGAATCTCGTACATTCATAACTGCTCTGGCGTATCAAATGTAAACAAATGACGTCATATATTAAGAAATGGACAAAAGTCCGACAATTTATTTATTAAAGACATTTTTTATGTTTAACGTTCTTTTTTATAGAAAAATTTATTTTTAAATAACTTGTATCTATAAAAAAGAACGTTAAACATAAAATGTCTTTTAATAATTAAATATATATTTTGATATATATATATATATATATATATATATATATATATAATAAAATATATATATATTTATAGGCGATAGTCTGAGCGATATGCTAGACGCAATAGTCAGGCCTGAAAATTGCATCTGCATGAAACAGACAAAGAAAAAATTGTTTTATTATGTTCACGTTTATATTTACATACGCTCTTTCTCTGATATTGAGCATTTTATCCTATAAATATAGCACATCTTGAGACTATATTTCTTCATATATATATATATGGAGCAAAGGTGTATGGCAAAGTCGAAAAAAGTTTCCGTGTGATTCGTTCACAACTACAATCGAAAAGATTGTATATAAACTCATCATAAAATGTGTCACATCTACATGTAAAACAATAAAACACTTAATCAATACAAAAAATAATATACTAACTGGACATTTTTTAATCTATAATATGTAATGATTGCCAGAAAGAAGATATTGGAGAAACCTCAAGAAGTTTGAATAAAAGAACACAAAAGAGGCGTTTAAAAAAACAACATATTAAACGTATTAGTTGCTCACCGTAACGAGACTGACCTGAATTTTGGCATGAAAAATGCTGGTCTAATAAAAAGGAAAAAAAACGATTCACACAGACGAAAATGTACTTTAATCGCTCGTTCATCGACAGCAAATTTGTGTCCAGGTTCTTACTAGGATTCACTATTCTTGGCAGATCTTTTGTTTTTACAATGTTGGATGTTTAATAACAAAGATGACAAAGACAATAGAAAGAAAAATAATCTCATTGCTAGATTATTTTACCTAAAACACATAAAAAGATATTCTAAATTAAAAATCCTCAGTTTCTCTCGTTCGTGATCATATATAGTAGAATCAACTTAAACCAACTTAGGCCAATGGAGGCCCTTTGCCTGATGATAGTCGTAAGACCGGAAACCCGTGTAGCGAAATTATGGAAAATAAAGCATAATATTTTTTTAAAAATCCACATCACAACCAAAAACGTTTGCCGTTTCTCTCTTTTTTTTTTATATATATATATATATATATATATATATATATATATATATATATATAGATAGATAGATAGATAGATAGATAGATAGATATAGGTAAAAAAATCCGTGGGTATACAATTCAAGTAAATCGTATTTATAAAATATAAAATATTAAAACACACACACACACACACACACACACACACACACACACACACACACACACACACACACACACACGAACATGTATATATTATCTCCTGATTAAACTTGCAGTCGAGAATATAATTAGATGTATTAAAATTAAGTAACAGTGCGTTGCAATTCTTATGTAGTATATCTCTGCGATAATCATGTAGCCTTTTTTAGGTTTCCGGATGTTTCGTCATTGAACTTTTTATATATTTTGTTGTTGCCATCTCGTTTCTTGCCAATGTCCGGTTTTAGTTGCTATCAATTTTCCCGCCTCTGTCTCGTTGTTGTTGTCATCTCACTTCTTGGCTATGCCCCGTTGTTATTGCTACCTTGCTTCTTGCTTATGTCCCGTTGTTGTGGCTACCTCGCTTCTTGCCTATGTCACGTTGTTGTGGCTACCTCGCTTCTTGCCTATGCCCCGTTGTTATTGCTACCTCGCTTCTTGCCTATGTCACGTTGTTGTGGCTACCTCGCTTCTTGCCTATGCCCCGTTGTTATTGCTACCTCGCTTCTTGCCTATGTCCCGTTGTTGTGGCTACCTCGCTTCTTGCCTGTGTCCCGTTGTTGTGGCTACCTCACTTCTTGCCTATGCCCCGTTGTTATTGCTACCTTGCTTCTTGCCTATGTCCCGTCGTTATTGCTACCTCGCTTCTTGCCTATGTCCCGTTGTTGTGGCAATCTCACTTCTTGCCTGTGTCCCGTCGTTATTGTTTATACTTTCTTTGGATTTAATGTCCCGTTGTTGTGGCTACCTCATACTTTTTTGCCTATGTCCTGTTTTGTTGCTATCATGTTTCTAGTAATTTATCCTGTTGTGGTTGCTATCACGTTTCCTGCCTATTTCTTATTATTTGTTGCTATCACGTTCCCATCTTATGCCCTGTTGTTGATGCTATTTCGTATATATATTTCTTAAAGAATTTTGAAAATATATATATATATATATATATATATATATATATATATATATATATATATATATATATATATATATATATATATATATATATATATATATATATATATATATATATATATATAATCTTTTATAATAAATATATATATATATATATATATATATATATATATATATATATATATATATATATAACACTCAACAGATTAAATGTATTAGTCATTTTTAATCAAAAATATATGTGTGTGTATGTATGTTATGTATACGTGTGTATATGTATATCTTTATTCTGATGTATTACTCTTGCTGTTACACGTATTCTCCCAAACATTATAATTTTTATATTTTTTATTTTTTGTTTTAGATTTTACTTTTTTTTTTTATCTAATTATTATCTTTGATTTTTTTATTATTATTATGATTAATAATATTATTTATAGTAGTAGTTGTAAATAATCTGATTATCAATATTAAATTAATATTAAATATCTAATATTTAATCAATATTAAAAATATTTTTATTTACCATTTATGAACTGCTTTAATTTTTAATTTTTAAATTCAAAAGTTCTAATTTAAACGTATTTTAATCTCTATTATTGTTGTTATCAATAATATTAATTTTCCTACTCTTTCTAAAATTTCAATTTTTCTTAATGATCTTTATCATATCTTATATTAATTACAATTTTATTAATCAGGATTAATAATATATTATTTTATTCCTACTTTGATGGTAATCTTTAATAGTTTATATATTAACTCTAAATTATATTGATGTGCTTTTCAAGTGTCGCTGTGATATGCCTACATATTTTAACCCAGTCTACCTTCTTCCTCCCTTTCCCTTGTTTAACTCTTTCTTTATTCTTTCTTCTTTCTCCTTCCCTCCTCCCTGCTTTACAATTTGTCTTTTTTTTTCTTCTTTTCTCTTCCTGACTAAAAATTATTAAAGAGGTCAAATTATCTGACCTCTTAACTGAGTACAATTGAAGCTACGTAATTTTTTAAAGATGATTTAAAAACAACGTTATCCTTGCTTTACATTTCCAAGATAGACCTTTCCATAGTCCTCCCACTACCTCTCTCACCTTATATCAATCTACAACTATTTCCCAAAAACTTGTATCAAAAATAAAACAAGCCTAATTCTAGAGATGAAAACTGATGAACCAGGAAAAATATATTTCCTAGGGAAATAAATTATAGTCATGGAACCTTAAGATTGTCTCTTTCTTAATTATTAATTAATATTTGCTCTGGTTTTACATTGAGCTCTCTGGATCACACCCTCTTTGGAATAATCCACACGGATTACAAACCCTTCAACTACCTGACTACATATATATATATATATATATATATATATATATATATATATATATATATATATATATAAATATATATATATATTTATTTATATTTAAGGTTCCATGTAATAAGAAGTTATGAAAACACAACCCCTTTAAAAAGGCTCTGGATCATCAGACTTTACTTCCAAATCAAAAATGAAAAAAAACATGGAAACGAAAAGTCTGATTTTTTAATAAAATTAAATTAATATTTGGGAACGATGAACTTACATTGAGCTCTCTCTGGATATCATCCTCTTTTCAATATATACCCATACGGATTATCTAGTTTTGCATAAACTATATATATATATATATATATATATATATATATATATATATATATTGTTTCTATTTAGGCAGCATTTTTCATTAATGCATGTTTCATTAAATAATACAGACAAGTTTTGTCGATTTATTTTAAGCAAATTCCTTTCATATCGTCTAATGAGCTTAATAACATTATCATTGAAAGACAAAAGAAAATCACCATATTGATACATGTTTCTTTAAGCTTTCGGCTTAAATAAGTCATCATCAAATGCATACTAATTATAAACAAGATGAAAATATACTAAAAAATTAGTAAATACTAATACATCTACAACAGATCCTAGCAAAAGAATTAATCATATACTACAGTAAATCTAGTAAATCCAACTCAGTTATTTGCAAGTATTCTTTCCCCCACCCCCGGTTAGCGATTTGCAAAAAACCAACATAGTTTACAAATTTAAGTGCCCTCTGGGAGATTGTATCTCCAACGGATTAAATAATATTTATGTTGGTCACACCATAAACTCACTTTCACGAAGCTTTACTCTATATTTGAATGATAATTCTAACAATATTAGGCATTTAAAACAACATGCCGGACCGCATATACAATTCCGGAAATTCCTTGTTGAAAACACAACTATACTTAAACATGAAAACAATAAACAAAAACTAAAAATTCTTGATGCTATATACATAAAACTGTTGAAACCTAACCTGAACAAAATAAACTATGAACTTTCCACAAATATTCTTAAATGCCTATAATTGATAACAAAAATCATTGCTTTATACCAACGGCTTCCCATACTTAATATTTCTCGTTTTCACTCTAGCGTCGTCATGTGTGACGTCAGGAGCTGCGACGTGATTTTCACTTTCGCGTCTCGTATACACGAGTTTGTCGTTGCTTTAAACTTTTTTATGCAGCAAGGGCGGACTATCATTGTTGTGTCGTCCGGGTGTTGTTTGATATTATGGTGTTGGAGGGGAGTGGATTCGTTGTTACTTGTTGCTTTATCAGAAGGTAGGTAGTAGTAGCAGTCCTTCGGGACAGCCGCTAGTTTGGCCTAAAGGTTCAACAAGCAATCAATTTGAGGTCACCATACATAAACAAAATAACATACGAAAGAGAAGGGTATATCAGAACAATTTGTATTAAAATACAACATCAATGAATAGTACAATTTTTCTGGATTCACACGCACAAAAGTCCGTTATAAAATGTTCATTCATATAAGAGAAATTGGATTATTAAAGGAATATAAAGTCACTTTGTTATTACTTAAGTTTAAGGCGTGCTGGTCACAGGAGATGAAAGGTGAGGTCAATGGGTTGGTAGGAGTCATTCGGTATCTCCGGTGGTGAAGGAAGGCTGGAGGCGTCTGGTGATGGGTGAGGAAAGCGTAGCGACATTCTCTGACGGCACTTCAAAGCTTTCTCTACAGAAGTGAATTTATCGCTCTATTTATTTGTGCCCATCGGCTCAGAGTCAGTCTGCTGAAGCAAACTGTTGGGTATGGCGCGGAGCCGTTTTATTGGTGGAAATTGCTTATTATTCTTTTTATTTTTTTTATTTTCCACCGGAAATTCTGCGTGGAGCCAGGTGCGTAAAGACCAGTATTGGTCATTTGCTATTTAGACCTCTGAGGGTTAACATCCGGTCCTTCGCTTGCTCCGTGCCACCACATAACTTTCGCCCCAGTAAACGGAGTTGTTGTTGTTGTTGTTTTTTTTTTGTTGTTTTTTTTTTTTTTTTTTTTTTTTTTCAGTATAAAAAATATGTTTTTTCTTTCTTCCATTTAACCGTTCTACCGGACTTCGTTCTAGTTTCTGGTTTGTTATCATTAGTTTCTTCGGAACAAGATAGGAGTTCTCCAAATCCGGTCTTGATCCAATGGAATCTTTTTTGAGTTTATATTTTCAGAAATATATGCAGGTTTTAGTCTATCTATTGAAACATTACTATGTACGTCATCCGATCTTTTAATAGTAAAATATTTTTCATGACGACTTAATACTTGGAATGGACCTGTGTATGGAGCTTCCTAACCGTGCGGCTACAATGAGAAGCGGCGAGGAAGTGGAAGCTAACACCTCTCGCCTAGTTAGTTTTCCGAAGTCTCACGAGGAACTGGTGAATTTGGGCGAGAGTTGGGTTGCATTTGAACATTCCGTTTATTTGGCCATCTGCACCACGGCTTACAAAATTTTGCACGTTCCGCAAAGTATAAATGCGCTCGGCAAATTAGAGGTTTTTGGTCCTTGTTAAAAGGGCGAACACTGGTAGGGAATTTATTTTCACTGTGGGAAAAGCCATGTATCCTTTTAGTTACATTTTTATTTTGCTGTTCATCCTTTTGCTTCCCCGAAATCTGTCGAATATGTGCGGTGTCTTGTTTGTTAAAATATAATAATAAGTCGTCCGCCATTTTTCCAAGACGATCTGTGTCTAAATCGACTTGTGCAGCTACCACTGGTTTAATGGAGTGAGGTAGGGCTTGAATAAATTTGTGACGTACGATATCGTCCCCTACGCCAATTCGGCTTGCTAATGACATAAGTTCATTCAGGTATACTGAGGGACGACATGTTAGAGTCGATGACGACATTAATTTGTCCAGCATCTCTGGTTTTGTTTTCTCGTAAGCGCCCGTCACTGCTTCTTTTAGTGCGTCGTAATCTTTTGATTGCAGTATAGTTGGCTGTATATTTCCTACTGTGTCCACAGGGAGAGCTGCCAAAGTGTTAAAAAATTTTTGACTGGTCTGTTTTATATTTGCAATATTAAATTGCGCCTCCATTATCGCAAACCAAGCTATTACGTTTGATTCAATGAAGTTTGGTGGTTTTATCGCAACAGTTTGGATTGGTTGGTTTTGATTAATTGTAGTTTCTTCAGCGTCATCTGCCATGTTTTTGGTTTGTGTTGAATAAAAATTCTAATTTTGTGACAGTTCAATTTTTTTTTTTTTGTGCCTGTATATATATGTGTTAAAATCACGTCGGCGGTCAACACTTATCGTGTTGGAGGGGAGTGGATTCGTTGTTACTTGTTGCTTTATCAGAAGGTAGGTAGTAGTAGCAGTCCTTCGGGACAGCCGCTAGTTTGGCCTAAAGGTTCAACAAGCAATCAATTTGAGGTCACCATACATAAACAAAATAACATACGAAAGAGAAGGGTATATCAGAACAATTTGTATTAAAATACAACATCAATGAATAGTACAATTTTTCTGGATTCACACGCACAAAA